TCGTCACTGACTACCCTACCTGGGACAAGTCTTCTATATAATATATATATATCATTTATATATGGAATGTGACTTATATAAATACTATGTACTTTGCACTGCACTAATACTGTAAATATTCTCATAATGCATGTTATTACATATATTCCAAACGATTATATTGAACGTTATTATTTTAAAACAGTTTTGTGCACTGAACCTTCAACACAACTGTCTATTTGTTTTTTAGGTTCCCTACGTATGCGTTTAGTGAAAAAACGATTTTCGATACGAACGATATTCCTATGGTAACTCCTATGCTACTTTATTCGCTGAAACCAAGAGGGGTGGTTTCTGGGAACAAAGTATCAATAGTATGAAAGTAAATTTTGCAATATTGGTGTCTTTAATATACTATTATAATATAATTTATAGTGTATAGGAAAATATCGATAAGTAATGATAAAAGCTAAGGAACTGTAAATTAAAGCACTTGTTTAGACCATTTACAATCAGTATTGCATGTTGTATAGAATTCCTTATAATTATTATAAGCTATTATAAACATTCTACGGTTTGGCACAAGGATATTAACTCGAATGAAAAGATAAGTCGTTTGTTATATCGAGGCAGCTTATTTAGAGGTTTTCTTCTATTGCGTGCGACTCGATGAACAATGGACAAATACACCGGGGATGAAAGGTGTTACACCTAACACCTTGTATTTGTACTTTGTCACCACACCAAGATATCTTCCTTATAACGTTGTATTTATGCTACACTAATAAAAGATACCTATTTTCAGAAAAATGTTAGCGATATTTTTTACGAACTCGAGTATAAGAGACGGCGAGACAGATACTTTTAATACAATTTTTTACATCATGGAACTCGTGTTTTTCTAACGGCGACTTAATGTAATTGCCACAGAGTAGGTACTTTGTGTTATATTAAATGTAATATGATTTCGTTTTTTGATCTCTTGTACGAAATAAGTTAGTATGAGTTTGTTTTTATTCAGTTTATTAATTGATACGTACTCGTATAGAATATATTGAAATGTCAGAAACATACGTAAAATTTTAGTCTAGGTTTTTTTGTGTTAGTAAAATTGGTAAAACGGGCTGTAGGTTGACTGAAAAATTTGACACAATGTTGCATTCCAATACGTGCGTGTTTTTAGAGTAAATTGAAATGCATTTTATTTACTTTTTCCATTTGTTTCATACTATTCTGCGCTACCGCGAAGCTTTGTTAGGTTTAGCTGGTAAATTGAATTGTGTTATTTATTCATAAAACTGAATGTAGGAATTTTTATATCAAATTTTTGCTTTTCACACCCGACTAAAATAAGACGGTAGCATATTTTTACGGCAAGTTTTATGATCATTTATTAATCAAAGTAAAACATAAACCCCATATATAGTCAAAATTTAAGTAATTTTTTTGATTGTACAATATAATGAATTTTATTCAATTCCTTTCTGCTTCTTTGACTAAACATATCATCTATAATTCTTAACTATAATCCCAAAGAATTGTAAACACTTCTAAGTCGCACCTAGCACATTTCGTTACGTACGTGTCTCTCACTATCTTGTCTCTTGTATTGAAATACGATATATTGGAAATAAAAACCCTCACCTAGGTATAATATATACCTGTATATACCTGTATACTCACTTATATCTGCTGTCGAACAGCGTGCTTTATAAGTTGCGTTCCGATTTTAAGGATGAGATGGAAAGTAAATGTATTTACTTAAATTCAAAACTCACGGGCGTTACAAGACGACGATGATGGTCTTGGTGCTATTTATGTATGTATGTATATAGACGATAACAACAGCATTCCGCCATTCCCGTTATATTAAAGAATAATTCTCGTTATATTAAAAAACGAACACTACACTTTTCTTTTGTTTCTTTTACACAGTAATATCAGTTCAGAATAAAAATATGTATATATTGCGGTGTTATAATTTGTATACACAGTGTAATTTGAAGGAAATGAGAACTTCGATACCTCTATATATTATTTATATAAATTATTATATATAATAAAACATTGTGGCTTGAACATCAACCCTGTATTAAACGTTGCCTAGTGGAATACTACTCTGAATTACTTCCAAGAGGTCCTAAGCTCAAATTTGGCAGACACCAAAAATTATTTAGTATGTCAATTTATATATCTGACTGACTCCCCGGTAAAAGATACACTGTTATCAAACTTAAAATTGATCCGATGGTTGTGGTTAATGATATACGTCGGATTTCAATATACGCAGCTAATTTTGGGCATGTCAAGTGTTCCGTTCAGCACATTGACAGTTGACAATGCCTGTTACTACTCTATGTAGAATAACAGTCGTGATGATATGCCTTGAGTTTAGACTTTCTTTATACATATTAGAAACAAAACCAACATTCAAATTATGTATTTAAAACAAAGCTTTTGTCCCAGGGGTCCGAGAAATCGGATAGCATTGACGGTGTACATGTAAGTTAGAACGATTCCCGGGATCGCCGAGGGCTCGGACATGTCTAGCACAGAGTTGTGTTAATGAGATCATGTAAACTGTACACAGGCATACTTTTGGCCTTCCCTAACGAATTAACAGGGGCCGGCGTCTGTGTTATTTGAACGTAAGCCCCCGTTTATAGCATTTAAGGGTCAGTTATAACTAAATTGTTTCAGTTACTAGTCAATAAAATCGATTAATAATTAAGATTCTATTTCATATTTAATAGAACTTAAATGAAAGAATCTTATTGAAATAAATATGTACCTAAATTTTATTCTACAAAAACGAATCCAATCGCGTGGAAAAAATATGATATCAACTGTAAAAGTAACATAAAAAAACGTTTAGTATAGACGAACACACTGTGTAACATATACACGAATACAGTTGAATTAACAAACTTTGAATGTCGCTTGAAAATAAAACACTGTGGCTTGAACATCAACCCTGTTTTCAACGTTGCTTCCAAAACAAGCGCCCGGGGCAGCGTCTGATGACTTTGTATGAAAATCAATGAAACGATTTTTTATCAAGTACTGCCTTTTACAAAAACGATCACATACAATATTCAGAGTAAAGCGAAACGGCCGAGCGACCCTGCCGCTTTAAAATGTAGATGCGCTTCTCTTGGTTTCATATTGCACATTTCGTATAGAACAATATATTGATACCCAATATACGAGGGTGCGTATTTTAATTATTCGTACATCAAGGTCATTAGTCATATGTACGTCAGGCACTTATCTGAGTTGTTACAAGTTAAGTAACTCTTTATTTATTTACTTAAGAGCATAAACAGGTATACAATTAGAATACTTGTAACTATTTTAAATTAACTCATCATTATCTGCTTCTCCCTTATTCCGTTTATTTGTGATTGGGATGGAATTTAAAAAAACACTATTTTAAACTAACTATGTAATATGTGGTTATAAAATCCAACATTATATTTAAGTATTGAAATATGTGGATTTTATATATTAAGTTACTTTAATCAAACGCGTATAAAGTAATATACGATGTACTTATAACTATGATTAGTAAAAGTAATATCTGTTTGGTTGAATCAGGAAAAGGGTATATGATATTACAATAGGACGATGATTAGTATAAAATCTAAGTTTTATGATAACAGTCATAAAGTAGTGTAGTAATATGCAAGAAAAAATCGCAATGTAATAAAGATATTTACCAAACCAGTAATCTAAATTATACTGGAAGAGACGTCGTCCGTTTACGAAGAGTCCGTGATACCGTAGGTCTGTATGTCGTAAGCGGAGCATACGACGCTTTTATTTTATAGTAAAAAGAAGCCATAACAGAAAAATAGAAAAAGGAAAATTGACAAAAGGCGCCTGTTCATAAGAACCGTGCTCCGATGAGTACCCTGTAGCCTGTAGCTTGAAGTGGGCTTTGAAACATTAGCTCACACACCTTACTATCCTATGTCTCCCTGGGATTATTATCTATTCAAACTTGAAAAAAGAATTATATGGTGGGAATACATTTTTAAATGAAGAAATAAACGGAGTGCTGTTTTTTCGTGTTTTTCAGAAAAAGAAAAACATTTTTCTGACAGTAAAATTAGTACATACTAATTTAATTGTCATTAAAAATGTTTTTCTTTCAGGCTAGCTGGCGAATATACTGAAAAGGAAAATTTAATTTGTATTATTTCCAATTCTTTCCCCACATATCTCTAACCTAAAAACGCAGATATAAGGCCACAGATTTTATGACAGCAATAATTATGTTTAAGCAGAGCTTGTACTATTACAACAGAAAAGGAATGTATGTATAAATCAAATAAAAACAGACCAACTCAAAAAACCCATAAATATTCATTTATGGGTTTTATGAAAATCGAACCGCAAGTATTGGAAGCTGAGCTTTTTGCTAAGTCATTACAGGGACTTGTACTTACAGGGATTACCAATGTGTATAAAATATAATTATTTTTAAGTTCGGAGAAATTACAGCATTTAGGCTGTATAAAGAAGAAGGATCTACTGTACATCCAATACTATCCGTATTGTATCTTCCCTAAAAATTCAGTAAAAAGTTCTACCCTCCACGTAGTGTATAGCTATACACATGGCTATAAGTAGGGCGAATATGGCATAATGATATGCAGGAAAATATTATTTTTTTAATTACATGTCTAAAAATAAATTATTAACTACAAAGAAATTATAACGAAGGTAAAATATAGAATAAAATTTTTAATATTGTATGATCCCTAGTTTGAAAGTACTTCTGTAGTGTGTAGTAAATAAGTAGTATAGTGTATAAGTAATTAAGGTAACAAGGCAGGAATAATATCCAGGAATAGTTATTATTATTAAAAAAAACTACTTCTGTAATAAAAACTAAGCTCCTGCTGAATAAATGAAGTAAATTTCAATGGAATGGACTTCACTTATCGATTATGTTGTTAGACTTTACTTTCATGTAACAAAAGTACGCAGGTATATAAATGTCCTAATGAACTTACCAACACATCTGGTCTTCCTCAGATCGACAGTGCACACGGTAGTATCTCGGGTGGTGTAATAAGCCAATACGCGACGATGTAGTATTAACCAAGCGCCTCTCCATTCTCCTGACACTCCTTCCTGTAGATGATTGATATCAAATAAGATATAATAACATTATTTCATCACGCAACATTGCTAATAATGTAACAAAATATTTAAGATTATCATAAATATAATATACTGTAAATTTTCTCTCGTCATTGGTTGTCATATAACTAATTTTTAAACATGACATAATTAAACATTTGTTGTATGTATAATTAGCAGCGGTTGGAGTTGGGCTGATTTTTGTAATGATATTTTTGCACAGACGCAAGCACCATGCAAATATTTGTATTTATGTATGTAAGTGCTTGTATTAGTCGGGCCGTTTTTATGCGTATAAAAAATATAGTATTTATATGAGTTATTTAGTACCCATGGGACTAGATGGCGCTGTGTTAATTGTCCAAGTTCATTATTATTACTGGAGTATTGCCGACCGCACAAACTTGAAAATCTTAAGTCACTATATTCTGATATGACAGTAACATATGATAATTAACATAAACTCAATAATATGGAATATTGTAGTATGATAACAATAAAATGGTAAGAAATGGAATTATAACGAGATGACTGCGAACAGGGATGAATGGAAGAGAAAAAGATATTACGCGGACCCCAAATAAATGGGATAAGGAAGAAGCAGATGATAAACTCAATAAAAAACATAATCAACACATGATAATCTTTCGGCAAAAAATTCCCAATTAAATTTAAAAACGTGTGTGGCCCACAGTATTCTACAGTCAAGCTATTTCTAATTAGGAAAACCAGAGGATCACATATAGTGAAAGGCACTGGGGATCAAACAAAAAGGTATACAGGCAGCTTTGCTTTGTATAAAATATTCCGTTTGATTCAGGTTTGGCACTGATTTTGTTGATCGATACACTAAAGTTCTATGTATGGCTCTCTATGAAGAGTAAGATAATCTAAATATAGAACTAAAAACGAATATTTTTAATTTTACAAATTTTAATCTACATTGTATTCTTTTATGAACACTTATTGTACATGAGGATGTAATTTAAGTAATGGATGCCATTCTCTATACGTATACTAGTTTCATTTCATTTAAAAATCATAAGTACACTCTAATATTTGCCATATAGTTATGACTTCTGAAACAATACATGATTCATAGTTAATTCACAGAATCAATCTGCCAAACCACTTTAGTAATACTATAGGAGTGAGCTAGTCAAATGCTTGCTCTAGTGTACACTATTTAGCAAGATCATTGGATTAGAGTGACAAACGGAATACATGATAAGGACGTGGAATGGCATAGCTGCAGATCCGAAACCAAGCGTAACCTATAATGTAGGTTTAGTACCACAAAAACTACAAATACACAATAAAATTCATTTCAATAACAATCAAAGTTGACTGAATAATAAGATGGAATAGAAGTAGAAGCTAGATTATGTACTAATAAATTATGTTCATTATGAAACCCGTAAATTCAACACTTCAAAAAATAAATTACTACGTGGGCGATTTAACGAAGATATTTACTTAAAATATATATAACATAATAATACTGACTGAGCAGAGAAACATTTTAATACCGAGAACTGACATGAAACTCAATTAATACCATTCCAAAATCAGACTATTCATCAATACATAATGGATTTCGGTGTAAAAATATAAGTAAGAACTGACAGGAAAATTATTTATTAAACATCTCTGTATTTGTAGAGACATTTAATATAAGGTTAAATTGTTTCAGTTTATTAATTTTATATTCATAAACTTATGCTTATGAATATAAAACTAAAACTTATTAATTCACTTATTTTACTAGACGGAATAACGGTTAATATAGGCAGGTAACAATATTTACACATCAATGAGCGCGACTGTCATATATAGCACTTGAAGCCTAGCGTCGCGTCGGACGCATCGATTCGGAAAACATTATTAATGAGAATCATACTTCACATTACATTATGCCAATACAACTACATTATATTAGAATTGTGGCTAAAAATTTAAAGGAACTAGTTGTTCACTATTGTTCAAAGTTATAAAACACGGTAAAGTAAATTGCTTTACAGATGTTGTTCCCACGAGAGTAATGTTATTATGTTCATTGTTTAATTTCCATTTCATATTATAAGCAGCTTATTGAATCAGATAATGAAAATTTAATATTGACTGTTACATGTTCGGTTGGTTATTTTTATGAAGTTTTAAAATTAACATTTTTACTTGGTTAGTATTTTATTCATCGCTGATTATTATAGACTTTAATTATTGCTTTTTGATGATTCATGCGATAGTAGTATATTAACTTTGTGTATATTGTAGTTTTTTTTTTTTCGGTTTTATTAACCGTTACTACATTTTTTGTTATATTTTTACAAAATTTGATCATCTGCTTTACAAGGATTATTCAATGATGATTCATGAATTATATAAATGGATTCATTGAGAGCGTTGGATTGAAAGTAAATTCCGTTAATAAAATCCTATTCAGATATTTAATATTAAATAAATCCCATACAGATATTCAATACATTTATTAACCTGCTTCTAGCAGGTTAATAAATGTACTGAATATCTGATTATTGATTAACATTGACTGAAAAACCTTACACTGTGTTAAGATCGTTTAATATTTTATTTATCATATCTAGCATAAATATATTAAATTAATTTAGAGCCGTGTGAGTTTTTAGAAAATATATACATCCATACATTACCCAGGTGAGAAATAATCTCTGTATGTTTTTTCATCCCTCGCATAGAGCAATAAGCCCCTGGATTTCAAACAAAATGGACTTTTGTGTTGAGGATAGGGAGGAACCATTTCAATATTACTCGCGTCAGACTATCTTTAAAACAAAATATTTCAAAGATAGTTAGAGATATATTAAGTTTATTAAATTATTTGATTCTATACTGTAGAGAGAGACAGAGAGAGAGAGTGAAACCACAAACCTGTGTTGTGGATAATAGTGATTGTACAAACTTCGTTGTATTTAATTATATTAATATACTTCTATCATAATTGTGTAGTACTTAGCTTTGTGATTCAAGACAAAAGGTATTGGAACTAAAGGTGAATACGATTGAAATTTGAGAAACATATGTACATATATATGTAAATAGAGGCTTTTGTCATTCGACTACAGTAACAAACCTGCAAGTTATTTATTACGAATATGTAATATAGGTGTACCATAACTAGTGGTCGAAAATTTTGCCACATTATTAAATTAAAAAATCGTTATTGCATTTTTAGAGGTAGCAATGTTAACAACCTGACTAATTTGTCTTATATTCTATACAGGGAATTGACCTTTAAAATTTTCTTCACACATTACTCTACAACATATTACATTTATAAATCGTTATTACATCGTCACGACTGCTATCTTGGTTGGGGTAGTTTAATTATCGATGTCATAGTAAACACAACACTTGACATGCACATATCTTGTTAGATATATACAACATAACTGGGGGTGAACCTACCATCGACTATTGATTTTATTTTTGGCTTTGTTATCGGTGTATCAGAGAGTAAGTTTAAAATATAAATTAACACACAAAGTTTTTATTTGGAGTCGACTAGAGTTGAACTTACGACCTTTTTGGTATCGGTGTAGTACGTCCCCGGCCACGTCGCTCTCATTAAATGAAATAGCCAACCAAAAATACACGTGAATTCATTTCTACGAAATTAAAGCCACAACTCACGTACAAAATAAATTGAATATTATCAGCTAATATCAGGTGTCAATCTCTATTGTATTAAAATATTATAAAATTATTTCAACAAAATATTGCTACTTTATCGAAATAATTTTATGGTGAATTAATCGGCACTAGGATGTGTTGCCTAGGTTACTGTGAGCGTGAAAAGGTTTCATATTCATTAAATGATTATTATTTTTGAAATTTTGCCTATTGACCACAGATTTATTATGCAATTTATACTATACTTTATTTCTTTTTTTAATCTTATACTTGCTGTGGTCTAGTATTTAGTATTCCTTAGTAGACGTATAACACAAAGCTATGTATCAGTTCTATAGACTTGGCTGTTTTCGATGTGTATTGATATTAAGTTACGGGTTTTAGTGCGATTTTGTTGTACTTCATCACTTATATTATAATTGATTATTACATACCAAATACATTTATAGTTATAAAAAATATGTTTTACGATCAACTAGCAGTACTTCTCGTCTTTTCCTTTATTGAACAATTACATGGTATATATATATATATATATAACTTATTAGTGGGGTCATACTTTGCTGAATAGGTGTAATTTATATAGCAGTTAGAAAGAGAGTTGCAGATTAGTAAAGGTAAAACTATTCGTCAACACAATCAAAGTGCTGTCAGGACCACAGTCACTTGCTGATGAATTTGTCATGAAGGACTAATTAAATTAACTTCAATGACCTCCCATCGTCTAGTACTGATGTCCCTCTAATGTAAACTATTAGCGTTGGCGAGTCCATTACTAGGTTATTCATCCTAGAATATATTTGCTGTGATTTGGAGACGCTCTACATATACGCATATATTAGTATAGGTTTGTTTGAAAGTGTATTTATTAGTTTTGGAATGGAAATATAAGACCTTTGTCTGGATACTTTACCAACACAAGTATTTTGCTGACTTTATTTAATTTGATGTAATTTAGTGTAATTATATGAATGTTGTAACGTTACAATAAGTAATCTAGTCTATATGACCACATGCACAACTGTTAAATGAGATGAAAAAATGCGGATAATAGAGTATTTCGGCGACTTGATATTTATAAACTGTTTTTTTTATGTCAAGTTTTTTATAAATTTCACTTATTTGTGTTAATATATTATACTATCCAAATCTACGTGTCCTATCCTTTAGACACCAATATAGCCTACTGATCCGTTACAGACCCCAATATATACAAAACATCTCTTTATGATTCTATATCTTCCTAAGCTTCTACTGGTGAGTTCATCTGCTTTATTTTGAGATAAAAGATAGCCAATGTCCGTTCTCGTGATATGAATCTA